CGTGATGAAGATCGATAAGAAGCAAATAATCCTGTTAACATGCACATGTGGCCACGGGAAGTCCTCCAATATATTATGAGGGATTCAGTGAGGCCACTTCACTCGCCCTCTTGAGGTGCTTCAGCCTCGCTGGGGCCGAGCTCGTGGGGAGAGAGAGTGAGAGAGGGGGGTGTGGGGGAATATGAGGAAGTGAGAGGGGGTGTGAGGGAATATGAGGAAGTGAGAGGGGGTGTGGGGGAATATGAGGAAGTGAGAGGGGGTGTGGGTGAATATGAGGAAGTGAGAGGGGGTGTGAGGGAGTGTGAGTGAGTGAGTGGGAGTGTGAGAATGTGAGGGGTGAATGAGTGTGGGAGAGTGAGAGGAAGTGTGGGGGTCTGACAGGAAGTATGAGGAAGTTTGACAGAATGAGATGGAGTGTGAGGCAGTGAGTGAGTGTGAGGGAGGGAGTGTGCGTAAGTGTGTGAGAATCTAACAAAGAGTGTGAGTAAGTGAGTGACTGTGAGTGTGAGAGAATGGGTGAGTGACCTGGAGTGTGAGTAAACATGAGTGAGTGAGTGTAAGTGATGAGTAAAAAAGTTCGAGTGTGAGTGAGACAAGAGAGTACGATAAGTAACAAGGAGTGTGAGTGTGATGGGGTATGAGGGAGAGAGTGTGACTGAGGAAGCGAGTGAGTGTGAGTGACTAGATGAGTGTGAGTGAGTGAGTGAGCAGATGAGTAACTCTGAGTGTGAGACTGAGAGTGGGAGTGTAAGTATGTAAGGATTATGAAAGAGTGAGTAAGTGTAAGAAGGAATGAGTAATTATGAATGAGAAGAGGCGAGTATAAGTGTTGGTATAATGGAGTATGAGTGCGAATAGTGCCTGAGAGATGGCACTGTTGTGACTATGAATAAGAGACTGTAAGTATGAGTGACAGCGTTAATGAGTTCATGAATAAGTGAATATGAATGTATGAAACTTGGGTGAGTAAGTGCTTATGCGTGAGTGAGTGTGTGGAAGTAAACGTGAATGAGTGAGTGTATGGATGTGTACATATGCTTATTAATAAAAGGTTTTTGTACAGTAATGTGTAAGTGATAATGATAATCATCATGATAATGATAATAATAATAACAATAATAATAATAATAATAATAATAATAATAATGATAAGAATAATAATATTAATAATAATAATAAAATGATAATAATGATAATACTGAAAATAATAATAACAACAACAACAATAATAATATTAATAATAATAATAATAATAATAATAATAATAATAATAATAATAATAATAATAATAACAATAATAACAATAACAAAATAACGAAAATGATAATAATGAGTGATAATAACAATTAAAATACATATAATAGTAATAACAATAAAAATATTAATAATACTAATACTAATACTAATAATAACAACAATGATAATGATGATAATGATAATGATAATAACAACAACAGTTATAATAACAAAAACCGCAATAACAATAATAATAATAATAATAATAATAATGATGATGATAATAATAATAATAATGATAACAATAATAATGATGATAATGATAACAATAATAATAATAATAATAATAACAATAATAATAATAATAATAATAATAATAATAATAATGATAATAATAATAATAATAATAATAATAATAATAATAATAATAATAATAATAATAATAATAATAATAATAATAATAATGATAACAATGATAATAATAATGATAATAACTTTAATAATGATAATAATAATAATGATAATAATAACAATAATAATAATAATGATAATGATAATAATAATAACAATAATAATAATAATAATAATAATGATAATAGTACAGATTATGATGATGATGATGAGGATGATAAGAAAAAATAATGAAAATAATAATGATAATACTAATGATAACAGCAACAGTAATAACAAAGACAACAGCATCAACAACAATGATGATAATAATGATAGTAATAATAATAATAATAATTATTATTATTGTCATTATTATAACCATCATAACAACAATAATAACAAATGATAATAATAATAATAATAATGATAATAGTAATGATAATAATAATGATAATAATCATAAGAAAAATATGGACTCTTAATGATAGTTTAAAAAGGCAACAATAATAATAATGATGATATTAATAATAATAATGAAAATAATGATACTAATAATATCAATAAAAGTAATGCTGATGACAATAATAATAATAATAATAATAATAATAATAATAATAATAATGATAATGATAATTATAATAAGGATAATAGTAATAATAATAGTAGTAGTAATAATGATAACGATAATAATAATGATTGTTATTATTATAATAGTAACAATAATAGTAATAATAATAATAATAATAATAATAATAATAATAATAATAATAATAATAATAATAATAATAATAATAATAATAATAATAATAACAATAATAATAATAATAATCATAATAATAATAATAATAATAATAGTAATGAAGATAATAAT